CCAAACACATTTAAAAGAATAAGAAGGGCTTCCCTGGTGGCGCAGTGGTTGGGAGTCCGCCTGCCGGTGCAGGGGACATGGGCTCGTGCCCCGGTCCGGGAGGATCCCAGGTGCCACGGAGCGTCTGGGCCCGTGGGCCGTGGCTGCTGGGCCTGCGCGTCTGGAGCCTGTGCTCCGTGACGGGAGGGGCCCCAGCGGTGAGAGGCCCTCATACCGCAAAAAAAAAAAAAAAAAAAAAAGAATAAGAAACAAAAGAGTAATATTTAGCTGCAGAACCTCTAAAAGCCATTATCAATCAACTCAATGAGGTAAAAGTAAACGGGAAGCACATCAGTTCAGCATCCAGTATCAGCAGCCTCTTAACCTCCACTTAATTTCCTTACAATAAAATCCAAACCTAAAGCAAAGTACTATCTTTTAAGATGTCGTTATCCCAAAAAGTTAAGAAAAAGGTTAAATTAATATGTTCTTATAGTTCAACTTTACAGATGTTAGACTTTCAATCTGTCCATGGAAACACTTTCAAAGCGATTATAAATAGTTATGGAAATAAAGCCAGTTTTATCTACTGCTGCTATTTTCTTAGTCCCAGTCATTAAATCTAGAGGCATAACTTTAATAAAACAAATGCTGTCTTCATTATATGTTTGAATACAAATTCTCAATAGTACATTTGAGGTTAAGATGCTAGAAAGACACATGCCCCTGTCTCTCCTTATATACTGAAAAACTGACAATCTGGTACAAAAGTTTCTAATCTAAAATCCAGAACGAAAGTGTAATTCTGAAATTGAGCTATTTGTTAACTACAAAGAAGTTATACTGAATAATAAACAGTACACTTGCTATAAGGGGTCGTTTTTGGCAACATAACTATGTTCATGAACTGAAGTGAAATGTCTGGAATACAGATGCAGCGGTGGAAAATCTCAGGAACAGATATTCAGAGATTAACTTTTTTTTTTTTTTTTTTTTTTTTTTTTGCGATACGCGGGGCTCCCACTGCCGTGGCCTCTCCCGTTGCAGAGCACAGGCTCCGGACGCGCAGGCCCAGTGGCCATGGCCCACAGGCCCAGGCGCTCCGCGGCATGTGGGATCCTACCGGACCGGGGCACAAACCCGTGTCCCCTGCATCGGCAGGCGGACGCTCAACCACTGCGCCACCAGGGAAGCCCCAAAGATTAACTTTTTTAAGTGATGTCTACAAACATTTCCCAAAATATGGCCCAACTTTTCAGTTTAAACTTCAATCTCAGCCACATAAAATCTTTCTGAATCATACCCAATTTGAAATCATGAAATCTACCCATTTTTCTTATGTTCTCACTCCTTTAGATTTTTAGACCACAGACTTATAATTTTTCTTTTGCATAATGTCGTCTATCATAAGAAAATGATAGTGCTCTCTGACAGGACTTGACAAAATACAGCTTGAAATAAATAAATATGCATATCCATATACATGTATACATATGTGTGTATATATTTCTAAGGAACTTCTAAAGTAGATGTATTTTGAAAGAGATTTTAAATTCTCGGGTTATTTTTAAGTATCTTTCCATTCCAGAAAAGATATAAAATACAAACGCTAATCAAAAGAAAGCTTCTGTAGTTTAGTAGTAGTATTAAAGATAAAGGACATTTCACAAAGATATAGTTAATTCAACAATATAAAAATTATGTGCACCTACTAACACAGGCTCAAAATATATAATGCAAAAACTAAAAATATTTAAAAGATAAAAAGGCAACCCCACAGTAAATAGAAATAACTTAAAAGTATCTTGCATATGTTATAAAGCAGAAACTAACACACCATTATAAAGCAATTATACTCCAATAAAGATGTTAAAAAATTATCTTCCATAGAGGGGAAAAAAAATAGCAAACATACAGATTTCAACAACACAATTAAAACCCTGACCTAGTTGTTCTGTACTGCACCCCAAAACTAAAAATAGACATCCTCTTCAAGCGTATATGAGACAGTTCATCAACATTAACCAAATGCTGGACCACAAAACAAGCCTCAACAAATCTTAAAGGACATAAATCATGTACAGAATGTTCTCTGACTACAGTGTGTTAAACTAGAAATCAATAAAAAAGATAACTAGAAATCTCTAGGACTTCCCTGGTGGCGCAGTGGTTAAGAATCCGCCTGCCAATGCACGGGACATGGGTTCGAGCCCTAGTCCGGGAAGATCCCACACACTGCAGAGCAACTAAGCCCATGTGCCACAACTACTGAGCCGGAGCTCTACAGCCTGAGAGTCACAACTACTGAGCAGCATGCCACAACTACTGAGGCCCACGTGCCTAGAGCCTGTGCTCCACAACAAGAGAAGCCACTGGCCGCAAGGAAGAGTAGCCCCCACTCACCACAACTAGAGAAAGCCTGTGCACAGCAATGAAGACCCAAAGCAGCCAAAAATTAATTAATTTAAAAAAAAAGAAAATCTCTAAATGTTTGAGTATTAAACAATATATTTCTAAATAAGCAATGGGTTAAAAAAAAAACCACATCATAATAGAATTTAGAAAGTATTTTAAACTGAATGATAAAGACAAAATAACATATTAAAGTTTGTGAGATGCAGCTACAGCAGTACATAGAGGGAAATTTATAGCCTTGACAACAGACATAGAAAAATAAAAAATAATCAAAGCATCCATCTTAAGAAGCTAGAAGAAAAAAATAATAAAGAGGGTATGAGATATATGTATATGTATAACTGATTCACATTGTTATAAAGCAGAAACTAGCACACCGTTGTAAAGCAATTATACTCCAATAAAGATGTTTAAAAAAAAAAGTGTATGAGAGGGACTTCCCTGGCGGTCCAGTGGTTAGGACTTTGCCTTCCAGTGCAGGGGAGGAAGGTTCAATCCCTGGGCAGGGAGCTAAGATCCCACATGCCTCACAGCCAAAAAACCAAAACATAAAACAGAAGCAATACTGTGACAAATTCAATAAAGACTTTAAAAATGGTCCACAACCAAAAAAAAAAAAGAGGGTATGGGAAACTTCTGGAGGTGATGGATATGTTTATGTCATAGATTGTGGTGATGGTTTCACAGGTATATATTTATCTCCAAACTCATCAAGTTGTACATATTAAATATGTACAGCTTTTTGTATATTAATTATACCTCAATAGAGTGGTTTTGAAAAAAAAAAGACAGGGAAGAATAATTCACAAAAATGAAAAAATATAAAAGGAATGAAATAAAAATGAGATAAAAACCTAGAAAAAATATAGAGAGGATAAACAAAGCCCAAAGTTATTTTTTTAAAGACTCATAAAAATTGTTAATAGTCTTATGAAATGATTAAGAGAAAACAGATAACCAATTTCTCAACTGAAAAAAGAGATCACTACAGATGCTACAGACATTTAAAAAATAGGATGTTATTATGTCAATAAAATCTTAAATTTAAATGAAATGGTAGATTCCTAGAAAAATAAAATTTACTAAAACTGACACAAGAAAACAACAGAAAATATGAATAGCCTACTATCTACCAAAGAAATGAAATCTACAATTAATAACTTTCCCACAATGAAAACTCCAGGACCAAAAGACTTTAGCAAACATTTAAGGAATAAATAACACCAACCCACAGAAACTCTTGCAGACAAAAGGAAAAGTGGGAACTTGTACCAACTCATTTTATGAGGCCAGCATAATCTAGGCATCAAATCCTGACATAGACATTATCACAGAAAGAAAATTGCAAGTCAATCTCATTCATGAAAGTTGACGCAAAAATCCTAAACAAAATATTAAAAAATGAAATGCAACAATACATAAGAGCAAGAACATATCACAAACAAGTTGTATTTATTCCAGGAATATGATGAGATTGGGTTAACATTTTTTAAAATATCAGTGGAGAAACTTTTGCTTCCAGTCAGGATGGAGTGGACTGGACTTAGCCCAGCCAATGAAACATCCACACACAAAAAAAAGAGACCACTTGATAGAAAATGAACAAAAGAACTGACAGGCAATTCTCAAAAGAAGTTATCCAAATATCTAATATATATATAAACACACACACACACATATATAGGCGCACGCACGCACGCACACACACACACACACACACACACACGAAAGGTGCTCAACATCCTTAGTCACCAGGGAACTACAAGTTCAAATCACAATAAGATATCCTTACATTCCTACCAGAATGGCTAAAATAAAGAGAGGCGGGAAAAAAAAAGGAAAGAACTACATGACATTCTTATAATACACAGAAAAACTCTTTAAGGATTTCCAATACAGTATTAACTATAATTATTGACTTTTGATAGGATTACCAGTATTTTTTTTCTCGTTTTGCTCATCTAAATTTTCTGATTTGTTTTTCAAAAATATACACACAGCTCCTATAATAAAAAATTTTTTTTTCATTTTTAAAAAAGGCAAAAGGAAAGGCATAATAACATTCTTGGTGTGATATAACTTATTTTGAATTTAATTTTAAAAAGCTTAAAATTTATTACTGGTTAATTTACATTTTCATGTCAAAATATATTGTGACAATGGTTTTCTATTGTAACATTATGGTTTGAGATGTTGTTAAAAAAAACTTACATGACCACATGCAAACATAAAATTAATCTGTTAGTACATACAGAATTGGAATGGTCAAATCATTCAGCACTGAGCCATTAGTATGTGAGTACTTAAAACCAAAATATCTGCCACTATGGTCTGGTGATAAAATATAAAAATAAGTCTATTAGACAAAAACAGCTAAATGAACTTTAAAAAGCATGAAGATTATGATGAGTTTCAAGCACTAAATGCAAGAACATCTGTCAAACTCCAAATGTTAGGTGACAACTTAGCAATCAGGGATGGCACTTATGTAAGCAAGCAGCATGAATGAACACATACTTTAAAGTTTTAGGTGACATTCAGCTTTTACTACTAAAGGGAAGGATTTCCCCCCCATTACAGAGGCATTGATACACTGCCCTCTGTACCTGGCACATCCTGGGGGAGCTCAGATGCCACCTTCTTCTCTGCCATGTTGCTGCTATCATGGGTTTCTGAGAGACACCCCACGGGACTCCTCCCTTCAGAGGGACTAGTCTCTTCTGAAGAAGCATTTGTTGTGTTGTCGCCAAGATTTGCTGACACAGAGTTACCTTTATCCCCAACTTCTGTTGGCTCTACAGTAAAATGCACAACAAAACTTTAAAGATATCCTTTCAAATTGCTTTAGGACAAATGGCCACATTCAGTCAACTACTAAAAATGAATGATCACCAAAAAACCTGGCTTCTATTCGATGGCCATTTTGAAGCAATTAGATTCTGGGATAATTTTGCAGCAGGTAATCCAAAGGGTATTTAAGAATATTTGATATATTAAGAATGTTTAAGTAGTTAACATAAAAAGGAACGTATTATATCACATACAAAAGTGTATATTCTGGTATAAAAACAGTGATTTTCACCAAAAAATCTTATAGGGAAATGGCACCTTATTAAGAAGTATAAATAGAGATATGGGTATAACATTATAGTAAATCCACCAATATATAAAACTCATTACAATGACTGTACATGTTATATATGGAGGAAGGGTATCCTAATCTCTTCAGAAATGTAAAATTAAATAGTTGTTTGCAATAAAAAAGACTCATTTTCATTTTGCAAGTAAAACTGGAGTTTTCGTAAGTAACACTGATGAAATATTTCTTTTTAACCAAATAATGTTTTTACCCTCAGATTTTCCTTGCTCAGGATCATCTGGTGTTTTGTCATCACTGTCTTTTTCAAGACTCTGGTCTTCAAACTCCTCTCTGCTTTTCTCAGCATCTTTGGAGTTATTATTCTCAGTCTCATTCTTCTCCTTTTCTATTTCTTCTGGACTTTTAACAATATCAATGTCTCCTTTTTTGGCTCTTATAGATTCCAAAATTTCTTCTATAATAAAACAAATAAAATTATGTTTCCATATATACCAAGTATAAAAGTACTACAAATGCCACTTAAGAGTTTCAATACAAGTTATTAAAGATAAATTTGCTAAAAGCATTAAGAACGATGAAATAAGGATCAAGATTACCAGTAACATTTTGATGTTTAGAGAACTCAAAGCGATTTGGTTATCTTCACTTCTAGAAAATACATGATAATATAGGCTCTAATTTCTTTTTAAAAAAAGAAAGAAAAATTAGTCTATCTTTTAAAATTGAGATTGATATAGATTACTGTGATATCCTCTGCCATAGGAGAAAATCTGTTAAGCTGACACAGACCCACAGTCTGGGCAGTGTGGTACAGTAACAAAAACCTAGAGACCCAGGACCTAGCACAGATCTGACCTGAATTAACTACGTGAGCCTGGGGGTAGGCTACTAAATCTTCGGGTCTCCACTGTAAAATGAGAAAACAGAGGCCCATTTGGAAACATTTCTCTCTGAAGTCCCATAACTTTCTGGAAGTCACTAAATCCCTAATGGCTCTAATTTTCTTTCAACTAGGGTGGAGTGATACTACGGCATGGGTGCAGACCACAAGTTATATCAGCATAGACTCCTGTATATTAATAATGTTCTTTGGGTTATGATCCAATACTATCATTTTTACTTTGTTGCTCAAATCGGTCCAGCTTTTGGCCATTGGGAGTTTTTCCAGGTAAGTCCTGTATCCTTTAAACACATGAGTCCTGTAACCTTTAAACACACTTCCTTCCCACCTTCCTTCCTTCTGTGCTTCCTCACTTTCCAGCACTGCAAGATGTTCCAGACTCACCTTGTATTTTCTTTGCCCCAGCCCTAGAATTCTCAAGGAGTCTTGATTCTTTTTTTAATTGGAGAATGAGATTTTATTTTATTTTTTATTTTTTTGCGGTACGCGGGCCTCTCACTGCTGTGGCTTCTCCCGCTGCGGAGCATAGGCTCCGGACGCACAGGGTCAGCGGCCATGGCTCACGGGCCCAGCTGCTCCACAGCACGTGGGATCTTCCCGGACCGGGGCACGAACCCACGTCCCCTGCATCGGCTGGCAGACTCCCAACCACTGTGCCACCAGGGAACCCCTGGAGAATGAGATTTAGAAGCCATGATCTGGGGCTTCCCTGGTGGCGTAGTGGTTGAGAATCTGCCTGCTAATGCAGGGGACCCAGGTTCGAGCCCTGGTCTGGGAGGATCCCACATGCCGCGGAGCAACTAGGCCCGTGAGCCACAACTACTGAGCCTGCGCGTCTGGAGCCTGTGCTCCGCAACAAGAGAGGCCGCGATAGTGAGAGGCCCACGCACCGTGATGAACAGTGGCCCCCACGGGCTTCCCTGGTGGCGCATTGGTTGAGAGTCCGCCTGCCGATGCAGGGGACACGGGTTCGTGCCCTGGTCTGGGAAGATCTCACATGCCGCGGAGCGGCTGGGCCCGTGGGCCATGGCCGCTGAGCCTGCGCGTCCGGAGCCTATGCTCCGCAGCGGGAGAGGCCACAGCAGTGAGAGGCCCGCGTACCGCAAAAAAAAAAAAAAAAAGATGTTACAATAGGGGAAGCATGCTGCAGCGTACGTGAAACCCTCTGTGTTATCTTAGCAACTTTTCTGTAACTCTAAAATTATTCTAAAATTAAAAGTTTATTAGAAAAAAAGAAAGCAAAGAGTAAATTTTAAAGGAATACCATTTCTCATAATTAAAAATAGGACTCCCTAAAAGGTTTATTAATAAAATTCTTGAATTAAAGAAAGAAACAAATATAATTTGGGGAACATTAGTAATGAGCAAGGCAAGGTACAAAACACTAAAATGCACAGGATCCCCAATTTATGTTAGGATGAACAAGTTCCTCTTGAGAAAATGAAATATAGAGAATTAAAATAATCATACTTGAAAATGTTAATATATTTTCATATTTTGTAGTGATTTCATATCAGGAAATGTAACAAAAAGTAAAATAAGAAAATTTCCCTCTCACCATTAGCTGCCGCCAGAAAGGATTTATTACTGCCCCGAGCCTTATTGGTCAGGTCTTCAGTTATGTCCATGTGCCGGTGGATTTCTTCACGCATTTCTTCTAGGATTTTGCAGAGTTCTGCTTCCCAGTAATCTTTGTCTAGACAGTCAATTAATTCTGCAAGCTGGACCTTTGTGCTGTAGTACCAAATTTTCTTTTCATTTTCATTTTCCGTGTCTTCTTCTCTGTTTAAAAAAAGCACAAAAACACTTTGATGTTAGACAAAATGGCACTTACCTGACAATTTTATCTATCCAGTGGAAGTTAAAACACACAAAGATTGTGCACTAAAGCTCAGTGTATTTGCTCATAAGGGATCCTATCAAGTCTCATTCAAACTCAAGGTACTCATTTTATTTGAACCTCTAATTATTTTGATTTCCTAGCCCATAGCAGCTTAGGATAAAATAATTTGCTTGTAGTAGTGGGAAGAGAGGAATTAGTATAGCAGCAAAGAAAGATATCTAAAAACATGACATGCAGAAACATGACCTTAAAATTCAGAGCGTATGAGTACTTGGTGGAGGACAGTCTTGGTTACACTTCAATCAACTTTAAGATCATCACTGTAACGATGCGAGGAGCAGAATAACCAGAAGTATTTAAACTATGTTCAGTACTTGGCAGGTACAGAGCAGGTTCACATTACAGTATAGTTTAGAAACATTTCCATCCAAATGGTGTAAATGCTCTGCTAAATTCTGGTCCCTGAAGGAGTCATCTCAATCAAGTAACAATGCCTCATCCCTCTTTCTTAACGGACAATCAAAGCTCAAACTGGAGAGAAGAAGAGCACAGCAGCTTCTTTTCCTGCTTAAATCTCTCTAAAGATGCCAGTCACTTGTAATGGAGGTGGAGACTTCAAAACTAATAACTAAAAACACAAGGCAAATTAATGTCTAGGACCAGACTTCAAGAAACATTATGTGACTTAGTTCTTCTCTCATTCAGAAGAATTCAGGAGTATGTGTGAGGTACCTAACAAGAAAGAGTCTAACATTCCTGTCTGCTCAAAGGCAAACTCACAAAGCTGAAAGAAGAGCACTTTAAGAAAGATATGGCTTTAAATGAGATATGTGAACGGGGACAAGACACAACTCCTCTGAGCCTCTGAGACATTTTATTCACCTCACTGGTAAAATGAGGACAACAGTACCTGTCTTGAGGGACACTGTAAGATACTATACGGTAAATAAAGGTATTATAATAAGGCATCTATCATAGTGCCTGGAAAACATCATTAGCGATCAATAAATAGAAAATATTATTGTTACTAGTAAGGTAGTAAATAAATTAAAATGTAGCAGAATTCCAGGAATGAGACATTCAATAATTCTGAACAAAGAAGGGATATATTAAATCATGGATAAATAAAAGGATATCAAAATTATCAAAAATTTTAAAGAAAGAGATTAATAAAGGGTTCCTGTTTTCCCTCTTTCAAATCAGCATCTGCTGAAATACGATATTAATATATTTCTGTTAGAAGCTTTTTACAAAAATTTCTGAAAATCATTTTTTTAAGCTGCTCTAGATTTCACTCTACAGTGGGTATTTCTACTGACTTTTTATGACTGAGTGAGAACAATCGTCTACTCCAATTTAAAATGTTAAAGATGTCAGAATCCTCTAAATAAAAAGATTAATAGGGGGCTTCCCTGGTGGCACAGTGGTTAAGAATCCGCCTGCCAATGCAGGGGACACGGGTTCGAGCCCTGGTTCGGGAAGATCCCAAATGCCGTGGAGTGGCTGAGCCCATGTGCCACAAGTACTGAGCCTTCATTCTAGAGCCCACGAGCCACAACTACTGAGCCCACGTACCACAACTACTGAAGCCCATGCGCCTAGAGCCTGAGCTCTGCAACAAGAGAAGCCACTGCAATGAGAAGCCCGCGCACCGCAACGAAGAGTAGCCTACCCTCGCCTCAACTAGAGAAAGCCCACGCAGCAACAAAGACCCAATGCCGCCAAAAATAAATAATAAATAAATAAAAAGTACATAGTGAGCTTTGACGGAGCACAAGAGTTACAGGACAGCCTAATTCTTTTTTTTCTAAGATTTCAATCTTAAGGATTTTCCCTCTGTTTAATGATATCAAATTCTTTCCTTGTTTGCTTTTTTCCTCTTGATTCAGAAATATCTACAAATTTCAATGGAACAAGAAAAACATTCTACATAAAAACGTTTTTGGGGTAGAAAACAATTTATAAGCATACGATTTCTACATGAAAGTGAGATGCTATGGGAACAAATTTAATTAAATGGACATTCTGTCCAATTTGCCAAGCAACTCACAGGCTACTAAAAGGGTCCTTATCAGTTGACTGACTTAGCCCATGCTGGCATCTGCATAATTTCCATCTTAACGGAGAACACTTAATTTTAATCTTAATTTTCATCTTAACAGAGAATTCACAACTTTATATGGTGGCAGTCTATTCTAAATTGGAACTGCTCTGTTAGAAAGTTTTTTCCTTTTAAGAGATGACACACACCTAGTGCTTCCTCCAATCCATCCTGATTCTGCCTGCTAGAATTCTCTGAAATAAACCTAACGCCTCCTCCACACACAGTCCATCAACTCTTTCACAACATCTATAATTTTACCCCGTTTTTTTTCTTTTCAGGCCAAACATGCTCAAATACTTTATTCCTCATACAGCATGTTTTCCAGTTGTCACTACCCTGATATTCTTCCCCTGAATGTACAGTTTTGTCAATGTCCCTCTAAAAACAGCTCTATTGGGGGACTTCCCTGGTGGTCCAGTGGTTAAGAATCCGCCTTCCAATGCAAGGAACATGGGTTCAATCCCTGGTTGGGGAACTAAGATCCCACATGAAGCAGGGCAACTAAGCCCACACCCACAACTACTGAGCCCGCATGCCGCAGCTACAGAGCCCATGCGCTCTGGAGCCAGCATGCCACAACTAGAGAGAAGCCCACAAGATGCAACGAAAGATCCCACATGCCGCAACTAAGACCCGATGCAGCCAAAAATATATATTAAAAAAAAATAAAAAGTAAAAATAGCTATTTTTCATTCTGCTCATCAAAGATAATACTCAACAATGACCATTTATTTTCTTCTTGAAGCTACAGAAGGATAAATTCATCAAAAGCATAAAGTAGCAAAACTGAGTGAACAATAACAGCTAATGCTTTCAAAGAAGTTTTAATATTGATGTACTTGGGCACGTTTACACAGTTTATATAACCAAGATTATCTGTTCTAATTGTAAAAGTGACAACTGCTTTCCTAGATGAATATACATCAATTTGTAAGTACCTTTGTTTATGGGGTTAGAATTTGGTTTCTACAGAAGCTCTGTCTCTACAACGTTCCTTCTGCACACCCAAACTGGCCTGGCTTCCCTGAAGTCACAGGGGAGGACAGAATGGAATGAAAATATGGGCCAAAAATACAATTAATAGCAAACTTACAGATTATATGCCTACATTTTAAAGTCTGTTTGGCTTTTACTTAGCCAAGATAAGTAAGAGGTTAATGACTAACAGTACGTTTTGAGTTTCATTTCTAAACAAACCCACAGAAACTAATAAGAGTGAGGAACGCTAGTGTGGTGGGTTGACAAAAAGGTATGTCCACCTGAAACTGTAGAATGTGACCTTACTTGGAAATATGGTCTTTGCAGATGTAATTAGCTAAGGATCTTGAGATGAAATCATTCTGGATTTAGGGTGAGCCCTAAGTCAAATGACTGCTATCCTTACAAGCGGAGGAGAGGATTCAAAGAGACACGTGGAGAAGGTGATGTGAAGATGGAGGCAGAGATTCGAGTCACGTGCCTTTGCCTATGAGCCAGGAGACACCAAGGAAGGCCAGCAACCACCAGAAGCTAGGAGACAGGCATGGAACAGAGTCTCCCTGAGCCTCCAGAAAGAAACAATCCTGCTGACACTGGTTTCAAACTTCTAGCCGCCAGAATCGCGAGAGAATAAATTCCTGTTGCTTTAAACAACTCATTTTATGGTCAATTTGTTATGGCAGCCCTAGGAAACTAAAACAGATTTTGATTTCATGCTTTTCTTTTTATGATTTAATTTTTTAACTTATTTTTTTGGCTGCATTGGGTCTTTGTTGCTGCGCGTGGGCTTTCTCTAGTTGCGGCAAGCGGGGGCTACTCTTCATTGTGGTGCGTGGGCTTCTCACTGCAGTGGCTTCTCTTTGTTGCGGAGCACGGGCTCTAGGCGCGCGGGCTTCAGTTGTTGTGGCTCGCGGGCTCTAGAGCGCAGGCTCAGTAGTTGTGGCATGAGGGCTTCAGTAGTTGTGGCACGTGGGCTCAGTAGTTGTGGCTCGCAGGCTCTAGAGCACAGGCTCAGTAGTTGTGGCATGCAGGCTTCGCAGTTGTGGCACGCGGGCTCAGCAGTTGTGGTCCACAGGCTCTAGAGCGCGGGCTCAGTAGTGGCATGCGGGCTCAGCAGTTGTGGCTCACGGGCTCTAGAGCGCAGGCTCAGTAGTTGTGGCATGCGGGCTTCAGTAATTGTGGCACGCGGGCTCAGCAGTTGTGGCTCACAGGCTCTAGAGTGTGGGCTCAGTAGCTGTGGCATGCGGGCTTTGTAGCTGTGGCACGAGGGCTCAGTAGTTGTGGCTTGCAGGCTCTAGAGCGCAGGCTCAGTAGTTGTGGCATGCGGCCTTCAGTAGTTGTGGCACGCAGGCTCAGTAGTTGTGGCTCGTGGGCTCTAGACTGCAGGCTCAGTAGTTGTGGCACACAGGCTTAGTTGCTCCACGGCACGTGGGATCTTCCCAGACCAGGCTCGAACCCGTGTCCCCTGCATTGGCAGGCAGATTCTTAACCACTGCGCCACCAGGGAAGTCCCCTAAAACAGATTTTGATACTGGGAAAGGAAGTGCTGCTATAACAGATACTTAAAAACGTGGGAGTGGCTTAGGAACTGGAAATGGGAAAAGGCTGGAAGAATTTTGAGGCACTTGACAGAAAAGGCCTAGACTTTCTTGAAGAGACAGAGGTTGGCAGAGATTGGAATTATGCTGCCAGCAAGCCAAGGAACACTTGGGGCACTAGAAGCTGTAAAGGGCAAGAAAAGAATTCTTTCCTAGAGCCTTTGGAGGGAGTGGGCCCACTGACACCTTGATTTTTTACTTCTAGCCTCCAGAACTGTGAGAAAATTAATCTCTCACTTTGCCTTGTTACAGCATCCAC